TAAAGCATCAACCGAGTTCACTTTGTACATGTTGTACCTCAGTGTCTTTATCCTGTAAGCTGAGAAATCCTCACGGATCCTTTGCATCTGATTTGCCGTAGACTCCAATAAAATAATACTGATTCCAATGCACATTTCATTCGTTTAATTCGTGACAGATGATTCAAACTGAAACCATCAAATGTACTGTATGCATCGAATGGGTATTTTTACAAAGTCGATACCGTCAAATCTTCATTTTTCAATATATATATATATATATATATATATATATATATATATAATGCCATTTACTTTAATCCACATTAGGAGATTCCACTGGCACATACGTGACGTTAAACCTTACGTAACAGCTTTTTGTTGCTTATTTAAAAATAGCTCGTGCCCGAAGTAACCGATAATGAAATATATATCATAATAATAAGAATAATAATTATCATTATTATCCAAAAGGGATCATACAGCAATTCTAATTATGGATATGTTTGGCAAATATGGACATGTTTTTAACATTACATACTCATATTTTTCGGCATTGGGCATTTAAACTCTCTCTCTCTCTCTCACACACACACATACACACACACACACACACACACACACACACATGAATCATCGCAGGAATACCCGGCATGTAATACGATATTCAAGGTAGATGTGTTTTCACGTGTTTATAAAGGTGTCTCAATAACTGATTTGCCAATGAACGAGAGGGCTATTTATTTTTAGTCATTTAACCGACAACCACCTTCTCTGAACGGACAATACCATATCCTGAGTTTTATTGCGACTCACTTCCTAAACAATGAGCGAGCCTTTTGTATCGTGGGAAAAATTATCTAAAATATTCAGGGCTTTGTTATATGAGGCCACGGTATAAGTAATATAAATTAGGTTGGCAAGTTGTTATATTGATCTTTGTTTTGGCTTTGTTGACAACCGAGTTAGGATTTGGATGCTATATCGTTTTAAATAATACCATACAAGAATATTCGAAAAACCAGCTGTAGACTTAAGGAACTTATATACATTGTAGGCCTACATGTACTAATACATACAGGTATATAGTGACACTCGGATATTCCAGACGACTTGAACTCAATTTGCACTGGTTATTATACTTAGAACCGACGGGCATGAACTCAGCGAATCTGGATATTACATTTACTGGGGGACTTGATAAACAGAAGATTATCTACAATATGGCGTTTATATATGCACGGTAAATCTTCCTGGAATTCAGGAAAATCTTCCTTCATTTGTACTTTTCCGCCATTCCAAGTTTAACTTTTTGATTGATTTCATTTACTCATCCATTCACTCATTTTTTATAAAGATATTCTTGGACATAATATTAGTTATTTGGAAAGACTGAAACGTACGTGGCATGGGTTGTTTTTCCAAACGTTATCATTGTTATTGGCTGCTATTATCAGATTTCTCTGATTGAGGAAATTGGAGCGTCAACAAAATGTCATGCCAATCACACGAGTGAGATGTCAATTAGCGAGTCTAATAACACCTTATTAAAAGGCAGATTGAGATGAGGCAAGGGGCTCTACTTGAATATGTAATCCAGATTATGGCCTCGAAAACAAATTGCAGAGTGCCCGAAGCTTTGTTATTAACGCAGGCATTCGACGGTGAGCAATGGGAGAAAAAAAAACGTCTGCGGCTTTAGAAGGGTAGGTTGCATTAAATCTCTAACAAGGTCAATATCCGGACCTTCGACATAGAGGCTGAAGCAAAATTGGCCTTGGTTTGCAAAATGATAACAGATAAAGATTGATAGCAGCTTACGATTAAGAAGAAGATTAATTTTACTACCTACAGTACGCCGCGTGATATAAAAGCATTTTCAGAAAATTAATAACTCCAACAGCATGGTTTTCATCACTGTTTATCATTTATCAATAATTTTAAATAAACTTATAAATAAATTAAAGTTATACGATGTTTGTGATTTATTAAATTGGATATCATTTTATGAAAAAAATCCCTCCTGTAGTTGAATCGGTGCCTTAGTGTTATGACAATATCACATTTTGTATGATGGTATTACATTACTTAATATTTGTCTAATAGAATGCATTTTATTTTGAATAGACTGTGTATTTGACGATGAGCACAAAAATAGGAATATGCAAAAAACACATAATTAGTCTACAGCTATATAAACATAAACATATACATATACCCTGTAGGCTTAAAACAAGTGTAATAATGCCAATCTCCTCTCAAGACGCCGTTCCAGGGCGCAAACAGTCACAATTAACTCAAACATGCTTATATTAATAATGCATTATTTTAATTGTGTATTAAAATACATTATTAATACAGTTAATTCATTTTTATCTTTATTCATTTGTATTTACTCTCCCTTATACCAAACAGATAAATAATATTACCATTTGCTTTTAACACCTATACAACGTTTCAAAAGAAATTTCAGGCTGCAAAATGCACAAAATATTACATCGTGGTTATATGCGAATGCAGTAGAGCTATTAAACTGCCAGATGCACCATTTCAATCTCATTCCCATGGCGGCCACATTTTATACGGGATAGTACATGTAATTGCATCGCTTACAACGGGTGCACAACAATGCCTTTGGGACATCATAACATTGCTTTCAGAAGACATGCAAGAGGAGTATTGAAGAAATGACACCGCTTCGAACCACTATATGTCACTGTTGCCTCGACGGGGTGAATCCAGTTGGTTTAAATCTAATCATGGTTACACACAACAAAAATCAATTTGTAATTTCTTCTCATTCATATCATTTTAAGATATCGATATTTATGGGCCGTAAATATTGTTAGACTGAAGTGAAGGATCATTTCTCTTTACGTGATTATCTTCATGATTTCACTACGGATGAAAGAATCTCTCCCGCATAGATATCTGCAAATGCAAGATAAAATACGTTTCCGATTATTGGTAGTTCGAATTTTTGTTTTAACAGCATATGCGACTACCAGTTAGAAGGTCGCTAACACCATTCTGTATGTTCCTTAGTTAAGTTAAGATCTAATTACTAATCGATCCAACGATGATGTATTTTGTAATAAATTGTAAGCATGTGATAAGGTATGTCATACGTTTTTTTTTTCTATTGTTGAATAAAAGTTAAAATATTTTTAAAAGATTAAAATTCTGTTTTGAGAAAATTCTGATTTTCATATACTCATCTCTCTTTAAACATGAAAATCCCTCAATATCCGCCAATGGTTTTGGTTTAAGCAAGCTCCCATTAGAAGAGGAAATCATTACAAAACGTTCAAACGTGTAAAATCAATTGCGACGATGCGCATTTTGAGAAAAAACATATTTGGCAAATAATATTCTGCAACGAAGATACCTTTTTTGTCTGCTGAACGTGGTTTACAGGTGGTATGACAAGGGTAGACCCAGAATTTGAAGGGGGGTCCGTTCTTTCACGAATGACAGTCCTCAGATTCGAAGCGTGGTGGGGTTCGGGGCCCGCTGAATGACCCCAGAATACTTGTTGGTGTTTTGGAGGGCAAACGGTGTTATTTGAAAGGGTTAAGAACTATAAATCAGTAAGTCAAAATTCTAATTTCAAGAGGGGAACATTAGTGTGATTTTTTTTCAGAAACCGAAGAGAGGTCAGGACCCCCCCTGACCCCCCTCTAAATCCACGACTGACCTTTGACGGAATTCCTTTATTATTGAACATTCATCCCCCACTCCTTGATTAGTCCAGGCTATTCCAAAACTGTACCCTTATAAGAGTTTCTTTACTTGCAATACCCAGCAATATTTATTCTGTCATATTATACTGTCACATGTCACACGCTTTAATAAACCTATTTTCAGGTACTTTCATAAGCTCGAATTAGTACTTAAACATGAAGCCATTTATATAGTGACGGCAATATTACTCCAAATCAGTTCGAATGTACTCAGCAAGTAAGTAACAGACATAAAATACTGGTGATAAGGTTACATTATTTTCCAAGAAAGCCATTACTGAAGCATGTACATACATGTCATTATTTAAAATGACTTCGCGAATGATTCTTTGCGACATTTCTTTGGAGCATGTTACTTTTTTTTTCGAAATAAAGAAGTAACTACTCAAAAAAGTAACTACACAAGAAATACACATTTTACGCGAAATTAATATGCAAAGAGTGTTTGGATGATCATGTGATATTAAGGCTTTAAAATTTTTAACAACATTTTGAAATGGTCACTTAAATAACCCTTGTCCCAATACCTAAATTTTGACTGCGTGATGAGCACGCAAAGAAAGCTTGTTCATGTTAGTCGGGGACAAATCCCACACACGGACGTTTTCTTTAATCATGCAGGTACGGCGTCTCCTATAACTTATATGGGGCACATGCATGCCTTCATCACAGAATGCCATACAGTATAGTTTTCCTCTCTATACCATGAATGTGTTATCTGACCAGCGGGACTCATTGTATGTGGATAGGTTACAAGGATATATGTCACAACTCGTCTCCACTGGCACAATATTCCCCAACACCCATGCACAATGCCCTGTTATGATAACATCATTGGTATTCTAAACAGATGTAACCGGTAAAAAATCATGTGGCGGGTTCAGTGCATAGGTCCAATGTTTTTACTCTGATGATTGACATTAATTAAAGAATGAAATAAAGACATACGCTCTGAAAACTATTCTGCACTTGTCGTAGTATACATGTACCTCTCTGTCGTGATTATAAAGTGTTTGTCGTATGACTACTAATAATTGTATCATTCTTCATTTTTCTACTGGAATATTACCTGCTACATTTAAGTAGCGCTTAGTCGTGTTTTGAAAATAAATCATTTTTCAGAACTTCCCTTATCTTTTCATCTTATATGACACAGAAAAAAACAACTTGAAAAATATCATCCCACGCTCAAAAAGGGAAGTATAGTCTGTCTGAATGATGAGTAACGCGGCTTACATATATTTTCAGTTAGTGTCAGGCAATTGGTGCGCGCATGCGCTTCGTGCAGCCAACAGTCTTTTCCAAGAGAAGTGTGTCACTTAGATGCTACACCTGGCTCATCGTTCGTTTCAGACTATAGCGGATAATGTAACCGTAACAGTTTGAATTAGGAATAGCCAACTTAAGTTCCGGTTAACAATCCCGCGTCTTGGGAGGCATCTAAGGTAGGTATACATGAAGGAAATATTACGTTAAAATACACATAAGCTGCAGTATAAATAGCATATGCGTCATACATTTTACATGCACTAGTTGTAAATAAAACCGTTTTGCCCGTAATATCCAAAAGGTTACGTAGAGACAAGGATGTTTGTCATCTTTTCATGTGTTTCTAAATATAGATTTCAATTCTTGAGTCAGGGCAGACTGAGATGCACCTTTGGTGTGAAATGATCCATTTATAAATCATGAACGTGTCATGTGTTTTCCCTGAGGAAAATATCAATAAGTACACAAACATAAACATGCACTGGCACAAGGCAAGGCAAGACATCCAATCCCAAGTCTATATATATATACTCAAATTTTAAAATTGAAAATATCCTCTAGATATACCGGGTATACATGTTAATGTTTATATAAGTGATAAAATGTTTAAGGCCCAAATAAAAATTGACAGAAAAATATACGGACTTGACTCATTTGTATGTAGAGTTGAAATTGTTTTATTGTAAATTATATTATTCGACCCCATTCCTCGATAAACCTGTAAACATTGGATGGTCTACCTGTTCATTCTTAATGTCAGATTTAAAATAACGACTATAAACCTGCAAGGTGTATTGGAATAATGTGGTTGCTACAATGTAAGTGCAGCGTTTATTTTACGTCGAAAAAACAAACATTGCTCATTCTACGTACTAGCCTAATACTCCCTTCGCAAACATTAGAGTCTTCTCTTGAGTTATGGAGAATGAGATGTAATCTTACTAAGAAGGTTAATCATTACAAGCAAGGTAGATAGTGTTTCTCTTTCTACTGGTAAATATGAACATATAAATTTCTTTCGTGTACATGTACAACTTCAACACAGTGAGTTCCAATTTTTAATTAAATTATTATTATTATTATTATTATTATTATTATTATTATTATAACATAAGCCACGAAGATCAGTATATTATAAATACCAGATTCACTTTCATAGTTCACACGCATGTCCCACTCGCCCACTATCCCTCATGCAACGATATGAAGTCTTCACGTACGCACGATATTTAAGATCAAAAAGCGACCTAAAATGCAAAGTTCAACATACACTGTTCTCATGAACTGGTGCGGTTTTATAGTCAAATTCAAGGGGTCGGTGGTTTGACATTCTGTGCACTGGGGAGTCGCCCCCCCCCCCCCCCCCATTCCTCTCTCTCTCTCTCTTCGACCGAGCAGGTTTATCCCCGCCTCCCCCCCCCCCGCAATGTCATAGGGGTTCTTATAATAAAAGTGATTTCCCAATGGACTCTGAACTTACAACAAGGCTCACAGTTAAGTACATTTACCATGGCACGTCCAGATGTAAGTGTCTTATATATAATGTATATTATAACTGTTGATATAACGCAGAGCCTGATAGACCGCTCTACTTTCTAAATATATAACCGATGAACGTTATCAATCAGGATACATGCGTTCTCACTGACATGTGATATTCTTGACACATGTATATTTAAAATATGATAAGGTGTTCGTCAAGCGCTTAATCTGCAACATTTTGCTTTGTCGGTTAAATCCCTGCGGAAATCCAGCATACAGGTACATGTATATGCAACTGGTTTATCTGGTGCTCATTTACCATGTTGTTGTGTAAGAGAACAATAGTGATACAAATTTCGGCTTTTTGTTTGCCTAACTAAAGTTCTTTTGTTTGATCAGTCATCCTCAATTCATGATCATCCATTTATTTTTTCTTTTATTCTCATTTTCCAGGATTTTGTACTTAAGCAACAACCAAAGAGTGGACTTTAAAAATGGCAACAAGCAGCCTGGACCAGTCCCTGAATACTGCGCTCACCTGTTCGGTATGTTTGGACCTTTATAAAGACCCGAGAACTCTACCATGTCAGCATATCTTCTGTTTGGCATGTCTTAGCGGCATTATGAAGGCGGACAGGTCAGTTTGCTGTCCAATTTGTAGAGAGATAGTCAGACTTGGAGCCACGGGTACAGCCAGCTTGCCAAAAAGTTTACTGGCGGCGGGACTCGTTGGAAACCTTCAAGGGCGCCCTGTAAGTCACGCCACATCAGGAAATGCCCGAGAAAACCAAAGGAGGATAAGGCGGTGTCAAAAGCACCCGACGGAAGAGATTTCTTTATTTTGCAGAAAAGACAGCGCCCTGATTTGTTTGCAATGTCTGGCACTAAGACACAAAAAACATAAATTTACGACAGTTAAGGAAGCTGCCGCTGACAGGCGCACTTCCCTTTACAAGTGTATTTCAGATATACTGCCATTAGCCACAGCTTATGACAAAGCACACGAAGAACTCGAGGACATAATAAGCACGTGCCAAAATGAAAAAGATTCCATAAGCCAACAAATCAACAACAAAGTTGAAAGTTTGTGCAGTTTAATTAGAAAACAAGGAGACGATTTGCTAAAGACTGTTGATGAAATATATGCACATGAAATGGAGCCGTTTTTCACCGGAAGGGCATTGATCAACAGAATCCGTGACCGTATAAAAGACACACGACAAAGCGGGGAAGACTCAATTAAAAATGACTCAGATTTAGACTTTATAGAGCATCAGCCTCAACTATGTAGTGACCTCATTAAACTAAAAAAGGAAACAATCTTGCCTCCATCAACTGCCAAAGGATTTAAAGTTACTTTCGTGCCAAAAGTTTTGAAGAGTTTCGATGAAGAACCGACCACCGCTGGGTTAAGACGAAAGGTTTCGCCCAAGAAAACCTACACAACAACGAACCTTGAAAAAGAAAGTAATAATCTAACAGGTAAACTCGTTCTCAGTAAGCCGTCCTCTTTAAAGGCTTGGATGGATAGTGCTTCACATGCAGTCCCATTTGCAAGTCTACAAAGGCCACACAGCATAGGTGGAATGCTAGATATTCTTGGCCACAAAGAGGATGAACAACAATTAGCAAGTGAAGACATTGCGTCTACCTCAAGCACCCCAATGCGACGAGCGCAAAGCGTTTCCGCCGTACGCAGGGTGCAAGACACTAGACATGGGGACGTTACACAAAGGCAAACCAGTCAAATGCCAATCGATGAATTTGTAGCTGCATATATTGATACAAGGAACAGCACTGCCGGATGCTCCCAAACGCCAAATGCTCCGGAGTCAGATGAATAAGATTTTGGTACATTCCAGTAGATATGATATCGGATATCTGAAGGGCTGATTCTGTTTTAATGCTAAGTTGTTAACAGCTTTGCGGGTGTCTCCTCTGTGTTGGCTCCCAGCGGATACATTTTGTTAAATGGTGGGTGGGTCGATGGGGGTTTTAACGCAAGGACGATTTTTGTGTCTCACCTCGCTTGGCAGTTACACGGTACTAGATACGAGGACAATTATACCTTATGATACAGTATATAGTGCACAAGAATGGAAACAGTGCGCAGCCTTGTTTCGTATTGCATGATTTTTTAACTTTGTTGGGGACGGAGAGATTTAAAGTGGGAAACACGTACCTCCAAATCTTACCACGTAACTGTTGTTATACTTTAATATACGTAATGTTAAGTCGACAGTTTAACTACAGCGGTCGGTTGTAAAAAACAGTGGGAATTGATACATGTGTCTCTGTTTTTTATAAAAAGAAAAAATTCCAGGTGCTGCCTTTTTGCAGTACCTACAGTCCCTTCATGTACCCTTTTGTGATGGGTACACCCAGCATTCATGTTAAAACTATCAAACAGACAACGATAATGGTGTCACCATGTTTGTTTCTCACTCCTGTGAACCTATGTCTGAATAAATCACGAAAACAGCACTTTTCATATAGATCTGTGTCAGTGAGCTATTTATGATGATTAATGACCTGATAAATGAGTGATCCAGTTATATTCCTTATGAATACGTGAATACCCTAAATGACCATGTTGTAAATAATGCAAAATCACATCTGCCGATTTAAATGCTTGCGACAGAAGTGTTTCTAACTCAAACGTATACCTGCAGAGGTGTAACGCGCTTAATTTAAAGATTGCTTCAATAGATTTACGCGAAAATGATACTGTAAAACCGGGTCTGCAACTGGAGTGAGAAGACGCGTTTCAAAAATGTAATTGCTGTAGATGTGAAAACAATCGACTTAGAAGTACTGGAGGAAATTATGCTAAATCGTGGTACACCACGAACTGTCATATTCGTGATTATTTTTCAAATAGTTTTTTAAAGCTTACACATGTAATAAATTAAGGAATGTGCTTAAAGGAACGTGATTTGATGCATTTGTGTCCCACAAAAATCTTTACTTTGTCCATGCACTGAGCACACTGACACAACAAGTTTTGTCAGTCTCTTCATTAATCTCTCTATGCACTCCGGAACAACTGCAGCATTCAGTAAAAAGGCTCGTTGGCCAATATACAATCTGGAAAGAATTTAATTTAATTTAATGGGTTTTTTTTTCATTGCTTATAAGTAGTCTAAGTAGGTACTCTCAGTTTTAATTTTACTATTACATAACAACTACGCAACCGACCATCGTGTAAATTGAGGATGCCAGTATAGTAGAACATTGAGCTACCTAGCGTAATCACTGAAATACTCCAATACCAATACTTTTTAATATACGGCTCCCAAGTGAGAGGGATATATATATTTTTACCAAGAGGTTGACATAGGCTTCTGCTAATAAAATGACCGCACACTATCTTCCCACCGTATGTTGAAGGCCATCACTCCGCAAATGTTACAGAACTTTTCGACTCCACGCACAGACGCGACAGGTGCGTCCTTCAATGCAGAGGATACTGTACAAAATAAATGTGGCTTTGATTTTTAACTATGGTTATTTTTTATTGATTGTTCAATATGTGCATTTTTGTGAAAAAAATCCTTTTTAAGTTGAATAAAGAACAGTAGTTACAGATATGATTTTCTGTATCACTTTACGCATTGCATTAGGAGTGATTTTTCTTTTCTTTTTTTTTTTTTTTTTTTTTTTTTTTGCTAGGGGAGTATATTGGTACGAATGAACTAGCGTTATTTTATAAACGAATTCAGTGGGAACAAAAGGTGGTTTGACCTTCCTCATTGGACTCTGTAACTTTAAACAAGGTTAACAGATAGGCACCCCTATCATGGCACGTCTAACTGTTAGTGTACTATTTTTATATATTATAAATTTTGATATTATGTACTGCCTGATAGACCGCTCTGCTTTCTGTACATAGCAGATAAACATACATGCCTTCTCACTGACGTGATATTGTGTATAAAGTTCAAATACGATAAGGTTTTTGGCAGCGTTTAATCTCTATCATGTTGCTTTACCGGTTAAACCAGTGCAATTATCCAGCATATATGCAACAGTTTTATCAGGTGCGCATTTACAACGTTTTTGTGTAAGAGAACAATGCGGGGCTTCTTGTTTGCTAATCGGAATTTTTGTTGGTTTATTTGTTTGTTCGTTGGTTTAGTCATCCTCAATTCATCCCTTTTATAATCTTCTTTTATTATCTTTTCCAGGATTTTTTTACCAAAGCACGACTAAAGAGTTGACTCAGAATGGCAACAAGTAGCCTGGACCAGACCCTAAATACTGCGCTCACCTGCCCAGTATGTCTGGAACTTTACGACGACCCGAGAACTCTACCATGTCAGCATATCTTCTGTTTGGCATGTCTTAGCGGCATTATGAGGGGGGACAGGTCAGTTTGTTGTCCAATTTGTAGAGAGATAGTCAAAGTGGGACCCAGGGGTACAGCTAGCTTGCCAAGAAGTTTTCTGGCGGCGGGGCTCGTTGGGGACCTTATAGAGCGTCCTGTAAGTCACGCCGCATCAGGGCATGTCCAAGAGGATCAAAGGGAGATAAAGCGATGCCAAGAGCACCCTACGGAAGAGATTGTTCTGTTTTGTAGAGAAGAAAGCACCCCGATTTGTTTAAAGTGTTTGGCACAAGGACACGAAAATCATAGATTTACAACAGTAAAAGAAGTTGCTGCTGAGAGGCGCATTTCTCTTGACAACTGTCTTTCAGATATATCGCCATTGGCCATAGCTTATGACAAAGCACACGAAGAGCTCGAGGACATTATAAGCACGTGCCAAAATGAAAAAGATTCCATAAGCCAACAAATCACCAACAAAGTTGAAAGTTTGTGTAGTTTAATTAGGAAACAAGGAGACGATTTGCTAAAGAACGTTGATGAAATATATGCAGATGAAATGGAGCCGTTTTTCACCGGAAGAGAATTGATCAATAGAATCCGTGACCGTATTGGAAACGCACGTCAAAGCGGGGAGGACTCAATTGAAAATGACTCAGATTTAGACTTTATTGAACATCAACCTCAACTATTTAGTGACCTCATAAAACTAAAAAAGGAAACAATCTTGCCTCCATCAACTGCCAAAGGATTTAAAGTTACTTTCGTGCCAAAAGTTGTGAGGAGTTTCGATTTGGAACCGAGAACCGCTGGGTTAAGACGAAAGGTTTCGCCCAAGAAAACCTATACAACAACGAACCTGGAAAATGAAAGTAATAATCTAACAGGTAAACTTGTTCTCAGTAAGCCGTCCTCTTTAAAAACTTGGATGGATAGTGCTTCACATGCAGTCCCATTTGTTCGGGTACGAAAACCACATAGCATAGCTGAAATGCTAGATATACTCGGCGACAAGGGGAATTTACAACCATTAGCAAATGAAGACATTGCGTCTACCTCAGCCATCGCTATGCGACGATCGCAAAGCGCTTCCGCCTTACTCACCGAGCAAGACAGTGAGCATTACGACGCTACAGAAAGACGAACCAGTCAAATGCCAATCGATGAATTTTTAGCCGCTTATATTCATACAAGGGATATCAGCGTCGGGTTCTCACAAACACCAAATGCTCCAGAGTCAGATGAATCATGGTCAGATGGATAAGAATTTTGTACATTCCAGTAAATAATTAATATCTGAAGAGCTGATTCTGATTTTAGAGCCAATGCATTAGCCACAAGCAAATTTTGCTGAGGTGGTTTAGTGGGTAGGGGACAAGGACGATTTTCTTCCTCGCTTTGCTTGACAGATACAAGGTATACATGTATCAAATAGTTGAAGAGAGCAATTATTAATTGCATGTATTTCATATTCAGAGTTGACATTTAATGGAATATTTTTTCCAAATCATTTTTCTTTTATTTTTTTCCCTACTTTTCCGACTTATGAGCGAAAACAAGGGTTTACTTGATTTTTTTCAATGTCAGTGAAATTGGCAGGGAAATTTGCATTTTGGTCAGAGAAAACTGAATTTCAAAAAAAAAAAAAAAAAAAAATCAGGGAAAAGTCAGGAAGAAATAAAATTTTAGGAAGATTTTCATATTTTCTAGGGCTATGGCAGTCTTCCAGTATAAATTAGCTATACTCTCTGACTTAATTTATCAGTAAGATTTTATCTATGTTAAACTTTGATATATGAATGTTTGTTCATTGTTGTAAATCATGATAAGAATTGGTTTAAATAAGATAATTAAACAATTATGAGTGAATAGGACGGTTGTAAGGGATGTGAAGGCAGAAAAACTATGTGGTATTGGTCAATGAAAAACAGGATTTGGTCAGTGATAAGTCAATGAAAAATCAGGGAATTTTAAGAATGACGTGATTTCTTCTTAAGTCAACTGCTAATATTTAGATAGTTTTTACCTCCAAAATTCGATGTCTAGCAGGACATCTTTTTCAGGGAACTATCTCAATATTATCTGTTGACTGAAGAAAAATATCACATCATTCTTATAACATAACACAGCTGATGAAATTCTTCTCTGTCGGGGAATTTTATTTGCTCAACTAACTGGCAACCCTGTAGTAGCATGGAAGGAAAGTCGAAAGATATAATGAATTCTGATTAGAATAGATTTGATGATATTATATACATACATGTATTCTGGTGAGATAAGATACTTTGTATGAACAAATCATAAAAGATGCATTAAAGCAGGTCAATGTCAAACACCCCTTACCATATGGTGCTTTATTTAACATAGCGCAGTTGAGAAGGTATAACAATTATTTCATTATTATTGCAAATTTTGATAGAAGTTTAAGGTAAACAACATTGGAAGATGAAAAAAATTAAATTCATATACATAGATATATATATACAATGTATAGCCAAAATTACTTTTCTCTAGACCCCCCCCCCCCTCTTATCTTTCATTTTCAAACATCAAGACCCCATTTATTTCTGCTTTAAACAAATCCACCCCTGCAACTTATTTATCCGTTTTGGTATGTCTAAAATGTTTATTAAAGCTGTCTAATACACATAACGGTATTGGTGTTATCATGTTTGCTTCGATCATTTTAAATATAGATCTGTCTCAGTGAAGTAATGGTGACTAATATCCCGATAAAAGAGTGAATGATTCATTTATATTCCTTATGAATAACCTAAAAAGGCAGGTTATTAACAATGCAAATTTATTCATCTGCCGATTTTAGAAAAATACTTGCGACTGAAGTCTTTTTAACTCAAATGTGTACCTGCACATGTGTGACACGCTTAATTAAAAATGATATTTACTTGAAAAATTATGCCGTATGGCCGGTGTAACAGGAATGGAAGTCCGCTAAGAGACGTAGTACGCTATCCATTACTTTGTACATAGCTGACATTCGTCCCTTATACTAAGCCAATACTCCAACTAACCCAAACCTGTACTAATATCATATGGGAGCCCGGACTATTATTCCAAAGACTTGCAGTTACACCGGTTACATGTATGCAACTGGCGGTAAAATTACGCTTTCTAAACATGTAATTGCTGTAGATATGAAAATAATCGCATTTGTCTCAACCACTCTTAGAAGTAGGCCCAAGTGGGGAAATGCTTTTACACAACGCACTATACTAGATAATAATGTAATTATATTCCAGACATTAGATACTGCACTTTAATGAACATGACTTTGAAATGAATGCATTGAATCTGGATGTCCCGTGAATTTGAATGTTCATTTTGGGCACTGAAACAAGTTTTGTCACTCTCATGTTGAATCTCGCCGTGTTCTCTGGAACAACTACTGCATCCAGTTAAGAGTTTCATTGCTCAAAACACTATATGGTAGCACAAACACAATTTGTATTTTTCCTTTTAATTTTTTTTTACTTTGCGCCTGTTGAGGATTATACTGTATCTTATTCATAACGCGACATTTACATTATTTAATATATTAAGTAGTTGATATTAAAACAAGACCAAGCATCTATTCAATCTCATCGAATATTATATTCAATTCACTTTTTGCAGTGCATATAACATAGTGTCGCTTTTATTATTGCATATTATATAGTTGATATTAAAGAAAAACGGTCACCTGGCCTCGATTCAAGGTGGTACAAAATACCCCCAGGATAATACATAAGCACATCAAGACCCACAACTTTTTCCAAATCCAGAATCAGCCTTCTACAAACATAAAGACACTCTTCGTACACTTTAATTGTCATCGGGCAACTAAATCATGTTGATGAACATACGAGTACTCCTTACCAGGGCCACAAGTTTATTCACTTGATTTTCACATTTTTCGCAAGCTTATTCTTTGTTTATTTCTACACTTGTTTCAGATTTTCTGAAAGAGCTTCACAACCCAGTTGGTTCCTATAAGATAGTAAAGCGATCAGAGAAGGCTTTCTTTCCATCCAACCCTCCACCCCCGGCGCATCATTGTTTGGTTCTTTGGTGTAGAAATGGTGGCTTTGGCTTTAATGAATACAAAAATAGGCTGTTTGTTGTCTAGTAGAATACTGTTTAGGCAATGAAGTCGCCCGTTTGTGGTTGAAATGTACAGTAATGCCCTAAGAATATTTCCAAATAACAAATATGCCACCTACACCCATCCTGTTTTTACTCGTCGTTTGTTTCGTATCGCAATAAATCCAACAATAAATAACAAATTACCATCATAAATGACGAATCTGTTGCGCATATAGACCAGATTTCGTGACAATAGGGTAAATGAGGATAAAGGTCAGAGCCTACCACAGCCGTGAGACAGGTAGCTCAGCTTACAACTCTTGTTTGCGCGAGCCTTTCTTCTGTTCCTATCAATGGCCCCATGATGGGATAACGTTTATTTCTTCTGGCAGTGTTAACTAGGTGTTTTACTGTCACGTTTATTAGGCTCCAGCCATTAGCGAGTATCGATTATTCTTGCGCTGATATAAGTCAGATTAACAAAATGATTTGTTTGTACATTGCATGTAAATCCTCTAGGTGTGACGTCTTCTCAGGCAAAAATATTGCTGTATCACTGTGTCTAATATGTCCCAGTCGCCATTCATTGAATTTAGATTGTACATGAAGTGTTTGGAAAAAACGTACTGTTTTCCAACGTCAGTGTTATATCATTTCCTAAATGGAACTATCCTTTAATACATTAATTTAAGAATAGCAATAAAATTGGCTATGGCTACTTCCTTAGATGTATTTGGATTTTTTAACCCATTAAAAAAAATGAGAAACGTTATATAGGCAAATTCAATTCAAATCTTGAATATGTCTTTGCCAGTTTTTTCCAAATATTTACACTTTCTTCCTCATCAGTGTATGTTCCTCGAGTAACTTCTGTACGCACTTAGTTCAATTGTAGATAGATTGCAACCCCACTAATCATATATATATTATATATTTCTAGTTGTTTTGTAATAAGATTTCGCAATTTATTTGACCGCCTGTATATACCTTTNTTTATTTCTTCCTCATCAGTGTATGTTCCTCGAGTAACTTCTGTACGCACTTAGTTCAATTGTAGATAGATTGCAACCCCACTAATCATATATATATTATATATTTCTAGTTGTTTTGTAATAAGATTTCGCAATTTATTTGACCGCCTGTATATACCTTTAAATGCGCCTTAATAGCTGTAATCCAACTGGGGTTTGAGATTGCATTTTAAGCACTGTATTTTATCATGATCGAAATTTATACAATGCATCTAATGGACACCGCGATCTTTCCTACATTTTCCAATGGACGAACTTGACTGATTTACTACATGATATCTACCTTTGCTGTCTCCGTGCCAAGTGGCAAACAAAACCACCTGTCGCCGTTTTTCATACAGATTGTGCCTTTCCAGGCATCTGCCTCCATCATAAAATCAATAATCGTAGATTGTAAGATTTACTAAATCGTTGGTCTAAATAAACAAGAGAGTGTATAAAGTGCGTTTGTCCGCAGCGTTGACTTGCCTCTATTAATTTTTTCATTGCCCCAGCAAGGTATTTATTTATTTATGAGCCATTTTCCGACATTTAGATAATTCTTTCAAATGGTCCCACGTTTTTGTATTAAAACGTTTTTACAATCAATAGCAGTGCTTTACCAATATATCACCAAGAACAAAGTTCAAGAACATCTGCATGCCTGGAAATGACAGTAGAGATTTGGCTAAATATTTTATTTCCTTTTTTCTAAATTGTTTCGCTACCCTTTTTTTTTTGGGGGGGGGGGGGCACCGTCTGATTCTTGAAAAATGCACATAAACACAGTAACAGTTTATAAGTAAGATGTCATTTACTTCTTATATGCAGCTACATAAATGGATAAAATATAAATACGCGATCATATTGTAATGGTACTTCATTAACTCTTGCTATAAATACACCTATCACCCTAAATGATCGATTTAAAGGTACTCGCTTTATCAAATCTACTGCAATAGACATAAATAAATCATATTCATAGTTATTTTTTCGTTTGGTCTTATAAATATACCCCATCAGACGGAGACGGAAAATATACAACAGCGTCAGCACATAAAAAAAAAAACACTTCGCTATTTGATATGATGCCTCTCCCTTTAAAGAAGGCGTGAACGACTTTCGTCGGATTCCTCCTCATTGTAAAGCCAGTTGTTCAACGTTTTCCGAAATTGAAAGGGCGCCTTGTGTCGAAAGAGCCATTTTATGCCTGGATAAAGAGAAAGGGGTTGATTTTTTTTTTCAAATATAAAGAATGACTAATGTGGATTTATGATTCGGCGTAAGTACCGGTAGTTAAACTTCACTGGATGTGAAAAAAATAATAATTTGAGTAGTATCATACTGTGAGCTGGTTTTGTAATTTGAAATGGACAAGAAATGGACGACCGAAATTAAGAAAATGATCTGAAAAAAGCGTTCGTACGTAGTGTATTGAATGCATGAATAGGTACGGCACTGAACATTACGGGAAAAACATCGAAATGTCATCAAAGGTTATCAAAATCCGATTTATGAAACATCACGAAGCAGTAAAATGTCTTTGAATTTTCTACACATGCAACAAAGAATGGAAATAACGCATGAATAGACTGCGAACAAGGTCGAAATACGGTCCCATCAAAAACCTGAAATGCAGACGATGATTTTAACATGGTTTTTCTCATTTGTCATGAATGCACTTTAACTTAATATACAAATAATTCGATGTTCATACATGCACCAGTGATATATTGGCGTCATTGAAAATCTTTCTGTACAAAACGTGCAGCTAAGTCTACTTTATGTGAATTCCGAGAGTTACATGTAGATATAGATACATGTATTATCTAGCTCGTTCGCGTTGTCTTTTGATTTCTTGGTTAATCAGATAAAATAAACCGTCTCCCACGTAAACTTTAGTTTTTTGTTTCTGACATTTGCCAATTTCGCACAGTCCATAGGGATAAACTACTCAGTATTTTCATGGCGTAAACTATCATTTTACGGACCAAAACTACCTCGCACGGGATCCGATTTAAATGAACTGCGTTTCTTTTGTTATCGTTGGGGAAAATTTTGCACCAACGTTATTGGATATCGATTTGAGTTCTCTCGTTTTCTATTTCAAGTTGTCGGGACTAACGACTGTCCTTCTTCGATGTTGTACGCTGGAGGATCGGATCTTCTTGAAAGACACGAGTCCCCCTTGTAATTATTCACATGGTTCATAACGACCGAGGCCGAAACCGGGGAATTCACCAAAGATGAAGCCCTGGAAATATGGGTTGGGTTTGTACTGGAATACGCCGTACTGCTGCGCCTCCTAGTGTCTGGACAGAGATGATTGGTAAGGCTGTCGACGAAGCACAGGTAAATCCATGGGTTGGTGCAGCTGTTCAAATTGGCAAGAAGCAGGAAAATGGTGACAACCACTTTGCTTGACTCTGCAAATATACAAAAAACAGCAAACATTTAATATTTGCGAAGACATAACGGAACACCACACAATGTCCACACGCATGTTGCTTTCTCCTTTAGTCAATGACAATGACAATGAGGTCGTTATTGCATTCTCTTTTCTCTCCATGACCATTACAGTACGTGCTAGTAAGTACAAAATGCTATGTGATTACGAAGAGAAGAGAACTCTTACCAGAAATCTAAAAAGGGAAAATGTCCCTTCAAATTTGAATATTCCAAGTAGGCCTAAATCACCAAACATGTTATATCATACGAGAAGACAATTTCAAGTACATGAGTAAGACCAGAACGGTTGTCCTAGGAATGGAAGTTCGGTGCCCATTAGGTTCAGCCGGAAGTATGAGGGTCAGTATATGGAACTCATGGCACCTGTGTAAAGTAATAGGGAACCGACTACGTTTCCTAGAGGACCATCATTCCTTTTACTGCTTTTACACCAGCCCTCACCAAGCAACAAATGCAGTATGGCGGGCTTAATCGGTGTATCACGTCGACACCTCTCCTTGTCTAAAGGCATTAGATGTCCTCTTTAAATTGAAGAAAAGGAAGGAACTGTAGCACGTTCATTTATCCAGCACCGCCGAATGCCTCAAATGGCAAAAAACTATCTTTAATAGGGTCGGGAGTGGAGAGGAGGTTTAAAAGAACAAAAATGTTATCCTTCTCGCCGTCTTAGTATCACGAAATGATTATAAAGATTACATGATGTGATCCTACTTCATTTCGCCCTAAAGCCTCATGACTTATTAACCCTCGTTTTTTACGGATATCTTAGGGTATATTTCCTCTTTTAAAATCTTCTCGAGCAATTATACGGTGATGGCGTAAAACATGCAGTTGCTGCTTAGTTTACCATTCCGCACGTTTCATTTTAAGACAGATTGCAATCCTGATTGTCAGGGCATTACATGCTCTGATCTTAATCGCACGAAAAAAATTGTCGTAATCCCGTAACAAGCTGTATATTGCCTATCCATCACCTTGACGGAGCTCACGCTGTTCCTGTTACGAGTATTAAAGGATATTTGTATTTGATGTCGAGAGAGACTGACAAGACAATTTCTCTGAACACAATGGGGATTCTTATAGATCTATTGGTCTGCACCTTAATCGTTAAACGCTATGAATTGACCAGCGATGATTAACAGTATAAAACCATTTAACTTCTAGTTTTTTTAGCTAAAAGTAAGGTTTCAGATCCCAATTTTAAAAGAATGAATTCAAACGCTGATATATGGCTTAATCTCTTTCAGTCAATATTTTAGATGCTTTGAACTGAGAAAGGTTGTGATAGGGATATGGACGCTAAATCGTACGCATTTTATAAAAAAAAGTTTTATTTTCTCTTTCTGGCACAATTTATGTTTGCATTCATACCTATCTATTTTATCAGCACCATGAAACTTTATGGAGAATGATATGGCTCGAATAGGGCAACACAAATTGTAATATTATCATATCAGAAATAAAGAAATATGAATTAAAACGGTTACATCTCTATCGTGAAAAAATCAACAAGAAAGGGCACCATATTCTATAGTGGTCGCAATCATTCTGCAAGAAAAGGTTCTCATGAATATTTTAGTTGCAAACTCTTTTGAAATAATATTTACGTTTGCGACTTATACGTGTAGGCCTACGAATAAATGAATACATAACCCATATCAACATTCAGAAGTAAAACACGAGTGTTGACTGTCCAGGAAAACTCTTTTTCAACCGATTTTGATTGCATTTTTGTATTTATATTCGAACATGAACACTGTAGACCTCTCTGTATTCAATTTTTTCGAAGGGAATTCATTCTTACCAGCTAAAATTCGAAATTCAGATGCTTGTTTACATGCCATTTGGTTGAAATTTTTTAAAACATAAAATTAATAGTACAACCTGTACAGCCACGAACAATCCCAAAAACAATTTTTCTTTTGAAAAATACAATTTAGCGCCTTTCCTTATGTAACATTAGATTATATACAGGTGTGCCTGACCAGGTAAAAGAAGTACCCGATATAAAAGCATGATAACATATGTTATAAAAAAGTATGAACCTAGCTAAAGCTAATTAAGAAGCTAGTTGGCAATTCTCTGCTTATCATTACTTATAATATCAAAAGCTTTGGCACTACATAAAATGCTCCATACCATGGAAAAAACTCTTTTAAACAAAAATGTACAAGATGTACCCCTTTGAAGTACATGGATTCAATACAAAATAATTCAATGAGAGATACTTACCACTATAGGCGACATTTTCATCCACAAGGAACAATATCTGTGTTATGAAAAAAGGCGACCAGCACAAAATATACACAATCACAACCGTCAACGTCAGCTTGATGGTCTTCATCTTGGCGCGGGACAGGCGATGGACATGCGCCCGCGGCCCCGTTGGCGACGTCACCGGTGTTATGGTCAGAGAGCGGCGTCCATTGAGGGTACCGTTGAAACTAGTGTCCGTGCTTCGTCTGGAGTCCAGTCTCAGGCCTGTCCGGCTGCAGCTTCGACTGGACGAGACGGTCTCCTGCGACCTCGTGCTCATCCAGACGACGTACGATATGTTCCCGTAGGTAAAAGCCAGAAGAATAATGGGCAGGACCCAAAGAGAGAAGGCAATCCATGCCACCCATATGGTCAGCCATGGTTCTGCTGGATTGAAGTTATCCCAACAGTCGAAAACGCCCTCCTCCCCTGGGACTGGGCGCATGGCAAAGATTGTCAGTTGGGGTATGCTTAAAGCAAGGCTAACACCCCAGGCGATCGCCACCATCACGTGTGCCTTGCGCGGACTCCATTGTTGTGAACGAAGAGGGTAGCATATGGCCAGGTACCTGTCTATTGCTGTCATGACCAGAACATAGGCCGAGGCGTACATGGAGACAAGCTGGGTGTATTTGACTAATTTACAGAGGAACTCTCCACCTTGAAAACGGTAGGTGAAGTCCCAGATGAACTGCGGCAGTGTGCTGAAGAACGCTGTGAACAAGTCTGCTATAGCCAAGTGGGCAATAAATAACAACATCCGGCTTAAATTGCCTTTCCGTCCTACCACAAACAGGACAAACGAGTTGCCAAAGATAGCCAAAAACAGGATGACGCCTGAAACTGCCAGTTCTGCCTTGGCCAAGTTTGTATCCCTTGGATGGGTGATATTTGAGCCATTCTTTTTCACATTACTTAATACACCGTCATAGACAATCGTAGTGTTTTCGTCAAAGAACAATGTTGCAAAGTCAACAATTGAAGCATTCTGATCCGTATTTGCCATCATTTCTCTCCAAAATGGATAAAATCTGCAGCAGAAACGAACGAGTGGCATTTAAGAAAGACAAAGTATTATGACAATTTAATAATGTTACCAAGAAACCCAAAAGATAAATAGCTGCTAATGTTCATGATATTGAACGAAACTTTGAAAAGCCTCTCAGGTCGCTGCGGTAGCTATCTTAATAAAGTAAAATAAAAGTTATCTTTTAAACATAATTGCCCGTTTGATAAACGCAGTCCCTTATGAAAGTATGAAAATAAAGAAACTTACCCTCGATGCCCAATGGAGAAAAATTTTGATTAATGCGGTCAGTTAGAACAATCCGGGATGGACCAATGTACATTAGCTTTATCATACCACAACTGCTCCAGCAGCTGACGAAAGTCCAAATAAAACTGAATAATTCAGCGCAAAGTTATATGTTATTGGAGCTGCCATAGAAGTCACGTCATTACCATGCTCTCGGAAACGGTTCGCGGAAACAGAGTCCGATTAATTAGCCTCATTAAGGAACGATCACAACGCGCGTCCTGACGTGTCAACGGGCAGTCAGCGGAATTCTGGCGATTAACCTTTTCCTCGAGGATCACGCTTGATTGTTTTAAGTCACGTTGTCCGGCAATAAATGGAACCGTCTTGCGCAGACACGAGGAAGTATTCCTCTGAGAAATCTCAAACTGTTGCGCATCTCAGGTCTTTCGACCCCCGCGCTGTTTTTATTCGCCCCCGCTGTGGAAATGTTGTATCGCGACCAGGTGGAAAGGCCTTCGGGAAAAACGCATCGTCCAGAACAAGTTTATCGCTCGAAAGAATGATCTGACAAGTAAACTGTTGATACAGTCAAATCTCGTACAATATTGACAAGGCCTTTGTTTATATACAGAGAAACATATGCTCTGGTGTTTGCTTTGCTCTCTTTTAGGTCAAATGTACGTTTTCTTTTAACTCTAATGTAATGGAATTGAGAAATCCCATATGATATCTTTGGTAAAACAATTTCATTGAGGTTGTATAACGGTGATAAATGTGTATATACACATGCAATACTGGGAACTGCATTAAATTAAGGCAGCAAATCATTTTAAAAAGCTGTCTAGAGATACACGTACTGCAAAATAAAGCCATTTGGTTTTGTTTTTAGGTTTGAAATGTAAACAATGTGAAACGGAATTCAGAAAATAAAAGCAGGGATCTGTATGATGTATACTGGCCCGGGGAGGTGTATAGAAAAAACAACGTTCTTCCAGTGAAAATTTCATTAGTTCTAAGAAATAATCACATATTTTCTCAACTTTCACGACACCCGCCAACGCGGAAGGATGGATTATCCGTGTCCCATTGTTCCCACTGTTGTCTAGGGTAAATTATTTGCACGTCTTTCTGGTAACAGATGTTTTAACTGCCAAGGATTAATTCCTGTAATTAAGTCTTCTCTTTATCACGTACTCTCAAGCATATTCTCTTATAATTTGCTGCATTAAACCTGGATACTTGGGGTCGTATAGTAGCAGACATTAGCTGTTTAAACATAATGATATAAGTGAATTAATGCAATTATGCGGTAGGCAATGTCTTTTCACCGGTAATGCCAACTAGTGATGAAATGTTAGCAAAACACTGTCGTCTAATCCTTAGATATGACATTCATTTTCCGCTCGTTCCTGGAACGGACTCCCGTTAAACCTATCTCAGAGCACATTAATTACTCAGGTTATCTAGGAAAAGATGCCACACGGGGGCAATGTTATTATTCCTTGAGGCGTTTTCACTCCCTATTTTCGACTATTGAGAGAGAGAGGGGGAGAGAGAGGGGGGGGGAGAGAGAGAGAGAGAGAGGGAGAGAGAGAGAGTTTTAAAAGTCAGAACCCTTTTAATGCCTTAAACTACATTACTCCACCAGACGCTTAAATCAAGTCCATCGTAAACTCAGCAAGGTTCATCACTAATTCGAACGCAGCCATAATATCTACTAGCTGCACAATACATCATCATTTCCCACCATGACGCTCCACTCAAAATCGCAACTGATTAATAAGGATTGATGTTGTCTGGCAATATTAATAATACTAATATATATGTCATACACCAACACGACGTAGCATCCAGGCAATTAAGCCAGTAAATCGCATTTATCGATGGCACATTTATAAGCATTCTGTCCTGAGCATTGATACTTAGATGCAAACCCGTTTATTTGAAGATTGGCTGAAACGTCAAAGGCTTCTCTGTTATTCATTCTGTGCTGGTAGTTCTCTTTGCCAGGTGATGCTGCTACTTAAGCTATAGGGGTAAAGCAGATGCGTAGACCTAACGTGGAAATATATTCAGCTTTTCAGAAAAATGCTAGCTTTCTGCGTGATTCTAACCCAATACCCCGGTGTACTTGGTGACGCCATTAACCTGAGATCGTACTTATATTCAAACACATCACCACCGTGTCTAGCAGGATTAACCTACTACTAATATTCGATGCAAAGTGCCAAATCCAACACATCTACCTTATAAAATGATTCCCCAAACATACATCAGTGAGTAAACCCTTTACAACCGACAATAATGCGCGTACGTTGCTTTTCTTATAACACTGGAAAACGGGAACATTTTGTCTAGTGAAATTTTAAAGAAATATCAGCTAGCTTTTGGGAAGTCTGAATATTTTAAAGCAGTAACGACCTATCTGTGCTCTTCAGCAGGACTTTTATCAAGATAAATCTGTAACTGTTAGAAAAGATATGGCCTCTGGTAGAGAGAGATAACGATAGGCACCTAAACAACTTGCACAACATTTAGCGTCCTGTTCAATCATGTGAGCAAGTTAAACAAACCGCAGTCATTTACCCAGTTCATTTTAAAATACCCATAAATATTAGATATGAAGGCTATAACTTATTTGAATAATTTCAATGATAGACAGCACAGTTGTTTTAAAACAACGAAAGTCGGTAATTTTAATAAAGAACGGTATGGAAATAACAAAGAACTTTTAGAAAAGAAAAAGTCGTTTCTTAGTTTCTATATTATGTACCGGTATTCATTTAAACCTCATAATGTTGGTTGCAATGGGCCTGAGATTAAAAATAAATAATGATAATAAAATAAAACGATTAAGTATATGACATTCCATTTTCGATAACATAAAATTAGAATTTTCGTCTTTTTGATTTTTTCTAATTATCGTAAAGCAACGCAACTTTAAAGGAAAAAAACAGGACAATTAGGAAAAAAATCTGCTTGATAATTGGTTTTTAGTGTTTCTGGGAAAATACAGAAAATACATGTAAGATGCGAAATAAAACATTCTTACGTTGATCAAACCTACCGCGACCAATATAAGGTTCTTATCATTGCGGAGTAAATTAATTTGTCACGAATCGGTGAAGTATCTGTGTACAAAGTCACAATAAGAAAGCAATAATGTAGATAAGAGCGTTTAAATACTGAAAGGAGCTTTATCATTTCTAAATCAATTTTACAACCTGTTCTATACGGCTTATTAGATGTAATGTGCATGGTTTGCGTACTCAACCCCATGAACTTATAAATACTAAAAAAATCTAATTTACATCACAATACCATTGGATACTATATTGAATAAAGCTCATGAATGTAACGTTATGTGAACTTCTGTTTCCTAAAACTACAAACCCACTGTGGCAATTCGGATAATTTTTATAATATTACATTAGATTTACAGAAACTATATTATATAGCTATAGTTTTGCATGTTCTAAAGACGGTTTCCAAGCTTCACACACAAAAATGAATTTTTCATTTACACGTGGGGATGAAACCATGACGTCACGAGACTAGTTGGTCCTTGAGCCCGTTTACAATCTCAGTCAAAAAGAGCCATGGGTTTTCAATACTGTTAAGACCTGCGGATGAGACTAATCGTGTAAACTGGGCGTAAAATCATGACATTTGATTGAAAAGTGCCTTAATAAACGTTACGACGAAATAAATAACCCCAAATGATACAAACGGTTATTTGTCACAAGACTCGATCAATATTTTCTCTGAAAAGACTACACGGCTCTGATTCTGCTAATCATCATAGACTACTGGATCATCTTATTCACTTTATAAATGGCAGACGATGAAATTTGAAAATCACATAAAATCTATAATATGCATAAAAGAATACATTTTTTCTTTACAAATACATGGAATGTAGAAAGTACAGAAATTATAATGAAAGTGATGCACTCACACACGCACGCACTCACACACACACACACACACACACACACACACACACACACACACACACACACACAATTACATTGCTTCATTAGAACGGATGATGTCAACTTATGTTAGTTATAATGACAACCAGGAATAAACATAGTATTACTATAGTATACAAATATATCAATTCATGTAAGCTTTTCTTTCTACCATTACTCTCATATAACTCACACCAGAGAAAGTGTGGATTGAAAAAGAATGCCCATCATGACAATGTAGTTGTCCATTTTACACTTATATTTTATACTGTTACTGCACGCGTCCTCTTTTATGCACTTTTTTCTTTAATGAAGTCCGAAAACAAAAATGGTTGCCTAATTGTTTTAATGTTACCTATGCTCATACATGTATGCCGACATGGCATTACTATAAGGATGTGATACTCAGACTTTATATCTCAAGGCATAACGGCACTAGCCCATGACGACAGCCAACGCTTCATAAAGCAGCTATATGTCGACAGAAAACAAAATTAACTCGCAAAATGCCCATATAATGTCGCTTGATAGCTGTTACACATCTCGCCTGTAGACGGTGAAATGGTTTCAGGTATATTTTGATAGTTGTCTAATCCCCGATGTTTATAATCCAGTAGGTAAGTTTGCTTGAAATAAGAAAAAAATTGCTAAGTCGTTTTGCACCCTGGCAAGAACGCCTATGTGTATGTACATCACTAAATTATAACCGTTGAATCCAAGACTTTGTTAAAGGGAAGGTGGTAGAAGGATGATAAAAAAAGTTGCTTCGCTTTTTTCGGCAAATTTAAAACATAAGAGGAGGAAATTTTTGGCATAAAATATAGGTCATGTAGGACGAAAAATGTTTAGTTTTGCAATTTGACCCGGTTGGCCATCAGAAAAGGCCGAGAAATAGCGTGCAACTCTATGGGGAATAGTTTGAATACTGCCAATACTAGACTGTCATAAAACAGCGAATAACATCACATTATGAGGCCACACAAACGATCCTTTTGTTAAAGCACTTAACATGTCTGCTCAAAAAATGAAATTACTGGTTTAAAAACAAATGCTTGCTACGCTGCTGAATTAAACGCACCGGGTCCGGATATTTTGAACAGAAGAGACGTAAAAACCAAACCATCAATATGGAATATATTGAAGACAACATTATTCAACTTAGTCTAATTAAAAAGGGAATATGAAATGATAACTGACGCAGACTTTTACCACATACTCCAAATGAATAAGAGGATAATTGGCTGAATGCAGGGATCAATCGAATTGACTCCTGCACCATTTGTCAGCATTATCCTCATACACATCATCCTAAACCATAGTTACTGGGGTCACTAGCCTCTTTGAATACTTTTTCATGAATCTCATTGCCCATCATTTCGCTGGGTACAAATAAGCTTATCAAAATACAGTAATCTGCGAAAGTTGGTGAAAGTGCAGGGTCCATCTTGGCACTGGGGAAGAAGATTCGCACAGCTTATGATCATGGCATAAAATAGGAGCGTAAGGCCTATATGGCATGTTTCATAAAATCGGCGAATGTCATACAGTCATAGAAAGATCTT